AAAAGTTTCACGTGAACTTACGATCATGTACCATTTGTGGATCATGTTCACGTGAAATTTTTCACTTTTCATGTTTCCGTCCTAGGGAAAATTACATGATCCCCCAGATCGACCCTCTGATTAAATTTCGTTTGCCCTGCACTGTTTGCACAGACTCTAAATCCAGTGCAGCCAGTGAACTTGTGCATTAAATTCTATTGCACTAATAACGAACAGTATCATTGACGTCATTTCAGGAATAAAAAACGCTTTAGTGTACACTTCTTGCACTAGTTTAGGAAGTTCAGAAAAAAACAAACCTATAGGCTGCGTTCCGATATTTACAGGTACTGAAAATCTATAATATACGTGACCTGCACTATATACTTTCAGTAATATAGCAGTGAATATCGGAACGTAGCCGTACAAGAAAGAAAGCGGAATGATTGTGATTGATCACACTAGTTCTGGGTACATATTCCATTTCGCTGTAGTTTCCGCGCCATAGGACGCCGGTCTGATTGGTCAATTTTTTGCTGATTACGTTTTACTGTTTAAATTTTTTTATGTATGGAAGTCCTAAATAATGATAACAGTAATTACTTTTTTAATAACAAAAATCAAGTTATTTTTTAAAAATAATTTTTTAACTGTGATATAGAAATATTGTATAATTAATGAAATATATATTTTTAGATTTCTTGAATACGCAACTATTGCATTGCAATTAGTGCATTTGTAATTTGCAATCGCAGAATGAACGGTGGGCGATCGTCGTTAACATGGCGGACGGCGATTTGCTTGTTACTATTTCGGGCGCAGCACTCTCGCTATTATTTTACGAAAATGTACGCAGTATCGGCGAGCAGGTAAGATAAATCATTCATTAATTTGCTAATCATTTTTCAAGTCTTCTTGCATTGCGTGGAAATTCTGTCTTTGAAGACAGATTCACTTTCACTGTTGTATAACCTCTATATACGCCTGTAATTGTGAAAAATAATATTTTGTAAATCTTGTAGATGGGATTTCTCCTTGGAGAAGCACTCGAATTTATCGTGAAAACTTATACTGATTCTGATAATCAAGTGGAGACTGTTAAGATTCATATTAGTAAGTACCTTCTAAATAATTTGTATCTTTCATATAAACAATAAAAGAGAGCTAGAATAGAAGGTACAAATAGACAATCCATTGTAAACATAGAAATATAAATAAAAGAGGCACGTGATGAATATTTAAAATATCTTTTCTATCTTGGATCTAGTAAAAATATAGTTGATATCTTTCTATATATAAGACTTAAAAATATTAAACTCACTGTTTTGCAGAAAAAAACAATGAAGCGCTAAAAGGAGGTGTGATATAGGATTAAGAAATTTGTCAGGAATAAATGAAACCTTTATCATATATTTATATTTGAGATGCATGATTGAAGATTAAGAATTGTAAATTAGAAATGAGAGTTTGATCAATTAGATAACTGATCTTATTTCACTTTATCATAATTCATTAAATTCTAATATGTTTAGTTTTTAATAGTTTAATATGAACTTAAAGATGCACTATATATATATATATATATATATATATATATATATATATATAGTATC